CAAAAGCGTAGGCCTCCATTGTTTTGTTTACATACAGTAGGCTTAGACGAACGGGAAAATTCGCGAGGGTTTAATTTTCGCGAAACTTTTACCCTTGAATCGTAAAATTTTCCCCAAAAATTCAATATTTTATTAATTTATGTATTATTTTTTGTATTATTTTGAGTTACCGTAGATATTTTTTTTAATTAACAGATGGTTTTTATATACAACGCGAATTTAAAATGGTGTTTATTTTTTTCCCGCGAGTTTTGCCGTATTTGTGTGTGGTTTTGGCGGGAAAGTTTACAGTGCATTGATGCGTCGAGTTTCCGTCTTGTGGTTTTTTTATATTTTTTATTCTCATTCGTCTAAAATCTTGTTATTTATTTATTTATTTATTTATTTTTAGTTAGATTTTGAAGTTCTTGATGATATACAGATAATAACCTTTGTTGTTATTCTTTATTATTTATTGTATATCGTCTTTCCTGTTATTCTTGTCATCCTTTTCTCTTCCTGTTTTAGTGTTTATCATTATTTGCAGCCAAAGTTTTCATTTATGCTGGAGAGAGAGAGAGAGAGAGAGAGAGAGAGAGAGAGAGAGAGAGAGAGAGAGAGAGAGAGAGTAATGGTGCTTGACGTGAATAGCGACAAGTTTGATGAATGACTACCAGGCCTTCTTTCCCTTCCTCCCTCTCCCTCTTCCCCTCCCTTCTTCAGCCTCCATACCTTTCTGCCTCATCCATCTATCCCTCACTCTCCGTCTTTCCCTTTATCCTACCTCTCTGTCTCATCCATCTTCCCTCCCTCCCTCCCTCCCTCCTTCCTTCCTTCCTTCCTTCCTTCCTTCCTTCCCTCTTCCCTCCCTCCCTCTTCATATATCCGTCCCTTTTTAGACTTCCTTCTCAATGCATCTCTTCCTTTTTCCCTCTCATCCTCTTCTTTCCTTTTCCCTCTCATCATCCTCCTCTTCCTCAGCCTTCATTCTCTCCCTCTTCCCTCCTTTCCCCCTTATTTTGCCCCCGCCCCCTTCCCCTTCGTGTGGGTTGTGGTGATGAAGCTGGTATGCGGCTGTGGGCGAAGACAGGTATAGGTGTGTCTGTGTTTGTCTGTCTATGGGTGTGTGTGTCTGTCTGTCTGTCTATGTGTGTGTGTGTCTGTCTGTCTATGGGTGTGTGTGTACGGTTGGTGTGTCTGTAAGATTGGGTTGTGTGTGTATGTAAGGTTGGCATGTATGTGTCTATGTCGTAGGTTGGCGTAGGTAGCGTGTGGGCCGCGGTAGTTAGTGGTTTATGGGTAACCTTCGGCAAGTTAGATGGGGGAGTTTTTGGGGGGGGGGTAGGGAGGGGAGAGCGGTGATTGATCATTAGCAGGGGGAGATGGGGAGGATATTAGAATTGTGTGGTACCTTAATTCTCGGAGGTTAGTGTGAGCGTTAAGTTAGATTAGGTCCGATTAAGGTAAGGTTAAGTTAGGTTAGGTTAGATTAACTTTAGGGTGATTAATCTCAAGGTGACACACTGAGGGGATGTTGGGGGGGGGTGGGGGCTAATCACGTAACCCCTGCCCCCCAAAATCCACATAGGAATCCTTGAGAGTGAGTCACAATAGGTGTTGGCCTTTAGGATACCCCACGCACTCCTACACGCCTCCTACACGTCCTGTACACAAGGTCGACCTCCTACGGGCGCCAGGTTCACAAAGGTTCATGGGATTACCTGAGGATTAGCCCCCCTCAGTTTATTTCACCTGATGATTAAGCACCCCGACGCTGCTTCAGGAGATTAGGTTAGGTGTGATTGGGTTTTGGTTAGGTTAGGTTAGGGTGGTTAATCTTCAGGTGATCTCTACTCTCACCCTAAATGATGTTAAGTAAAAGTATCTAATTAAGAGTTTTAGTGTGATTATTAATACAGATACTCTTACTTAAGATAAACTTGCTTAAATCAACCAATAAGATGCAGTTATTTGTTTTTCATTTAAGATAACTGTCTATGGTCAAAATCTGGACCAATCAGGAGCCAGGGGTACAAGGAGGACCTCCTGATTGGTCAAGAACTGAGGTGCATCACAAGGTCACCGCCCCTATTAGCCTATAGATGGTGCCTTGACTCATGACTTGTTCCACACCTACCCACACACACCTACACCTACCCACACACACCTGCACCTGCCAACACCTACCCACACACACCCACATCTACCTAAACCATTAAGGCAGCCGTTGATTACACAGGTATGAGGGTGGTCTCCATTGCCCCGCCCGACCCTCTCACCCAACTGTCAAAATATGGGGGCCACCCTAGGAGACCGGTTGACAAAGACGAGGAGACGAGCCATGTAGATTGAGCTAGATCTCACTGACAGTCAAGGCTAGGTGATCTCGCTGACAGTCAAGGCTAGGTGACCTCGCTGACAGTCAAGGCTAGGTGATCTCACTGACAGTCAAGGCTAGGTGATCTCACTGACAGTCAAGGCTAGGTGATCTCGCTGACAGTCAAGGCTAGGTGATCTCACTGACAGTCAAGGCTAGGTGATGTCACTGACAGTTAAGGCTAGGTGATCTCACTGACAGTCAAGGCTAGGTGATCTCACTGACAGTCAAAGACTAGAGTGATCTCACTGACAGTTAGGCTAGGTGATGTCGCTGACAGTGAAGGCTAGGTGATCTCACTGACAGTCAAGGCTAGGTGATCTCGCTGACAGTCAAGGCTAGGTGATCTCACTGACAGTTAAGGCTAGGTGATCTCACTGACAGTCAAGGCTAGGTGATCTCACTGACAGTCAAGGCTAGGTGATCTCACTGACAGTCAAGGCTAGGTGATGTCACTGACAGTCAAGGCTAGGTGATGTCACTGACAGTCAAGGCTAGGTGATCTCACTGACAGTCAAGGCTAGGTGATGTCACTGACAGTCAAGGCTAGGTGATCTCACTGACAGTCAAGGCTAGGTGATCTCGCTGACAGTCAAGGCTAGGTGATCTCACTGACAGTCAAGGCAGAGTGATCTCGCTGACAATCAGGCTAGTAGTCTCACTGACAGTTAAGGCTAGGTGATCTCACTGACAGTGAAGGCTAGGTGATGTCGCTGACAGTGAAGGCTAGGTGATCTCACTGATGACAGTCCAAGGCTAGAGTGACCTCATGACAGTCAAGGCTAGGTGATCTCACTGACAGTTTATGGCTAGGTGGTGATCTCACCGATGGTCGAATAGGAGATCTCACTTTGACAGTCAGGCTAGGTGATCTCACTGACAGTCAAGGCTAGGTGATCTCACTGACAGTCAAGGCTAGGTGATCTCACTGACAGTCAAGGCTAGCAGATCTCACTGACAGTCAAGGCTAGGTGAACTCACTGATAGTCAAGGCTAGGTGATCTCACTGACAGTCAAGGCGAGCAGATCTCGCTGACAGTCAAGGCTAGGTGATCTCGCTGACAGTCGAGGCTAGGTTATCTCACCGACAGTCAAGGCTAGGTGATCTCACCGACAGTCAAGGCTAGGAGATCTCACTGACAGTCAAGGCTAGGTGACGTCACTGACAGTCAAGGCTAGGTGATGTCACTGACAGTCAAGGCTAGGTGATCTCACTGACAGTCAAGGCTAGGTGATCTCACTGACAGTCAAGGCTAGGTGATCTCACTGACAGTCAAGGCAGGCAGATCTCGCTGACAGTCAAGGCTAGGTGATCTCACTGACAGTCAAAGGCAAGGTGATCTCACCGACAGTCAAGGCTAAGAGTGATCTCACCGACAGTCAAGGCTAGTGATCTCACCGACAGTCAAAGCTAGGAGATCTCACTGACAGTCAAGGCTAGGTGATGTCACTGACAGTCAAGGCTAGGTGATCTCACTGACAGTCAAGGCTACAGTCAAGGCTAGGTGATCTCACTGACAGTCAAGGCTAGGAGATCTCACTGACAGTCAAGGCTAGGTGATCTCACTGACAGTCAAGGCTAGGAGATATCACTGACAGTCAAGGCTAGGTGATCTCACTGACAGTCGAGGCTAGGTGATCTCACTGACAGACGAGGCTAGGTGATCTCACTGACAGTCAAGGCTTGGTGATCTCACTGACAGTCAAGGCTTGGTGATCTCACTGACAGTCAAGGCTAGGTGATCTCACTGACAGTCAAGGCTAGGATATCACAGTCAAGGCTAGGTGATCTCACTGACAGTCAAGGCTAGGTGATCTCACTGACAGTCAAGGCTAGGATATCTCACTTACAGTCAAGGCTTGGAGATCTTACTGACAGTCAAGGCTTGGAGATCTCGCTTACAGTCAAGGCTTGGAGATCTTACTGACAGTCAAGGCTTGGAGACTATGCTGACGGTGAAGGCTAGGAGATCTCACTGACAGTTAAGGCTAGGAGACTCAACATGCAAGTCAGTCTACTGTAGAGTAGGATGCCTGTTGAGGTCCTGGAGAATGTACTGTACAGTAGGTGAGGGTGAAATATTTGTCTACGTGAGAGATCAAGGTAGAGGTCAGGTGAGTCCTTGAGATGCCTCCTTGTGATTTGCTTTTATTTTGTAAAGTGTTGTTGTTGTTTAAGTCTTCGTGTGGCTAACAAAAACAGTAGTATATATTTTTCTTTGTTTAGTCATCGTTACAAATATAAATTTTTATTTGTTTTTATTTTTATTTTCGTTATACAGGGTAGACTGCAGGTAAACAAACAATATACCTAGACAGTACAGGTAAACAAACAATATACCTAGACAGTACAGGTAAACAAACAATATACCTAGACAGTAGATATACAAACAATATACCTAGACAGTACAGGTAATTAACAATCTACCTAGACAGTACAGGTAAACAAACAATATACCTAGACAGTACAGGTAAACAAACAATATACCTAGACAGTACAGGTATACAAACAATATACCTAGACAGTATAGGTAAACAAACAATATACCTAGACAGTATAGGTAAACAAACAATATACCTAGACAGTACAGGCAAACAAACAATCAATCAAATTACAACGTGTTTTGTTGCGTTTGTTTGCCAGGAGGACGAGAAAGTTATCGAACTGGTGGAGAAATATGGGCCCAAGCGGTGGACGCTGATCGCCAAACACCTGAAAGGTCGCATCGGGAAACAGTGCCGGGAACGATGGCACAACCACCTCAACCCAGCCATCAAGAAGAGTGCCTGGACAGAGGAGGAAGACCGGATCATTTACGAGGCGCACAAACAGTGGGGTAACCAGTGGGCCAAGATTGCTAAGTTGATCCCTGGCAGGTGAGTCTGGTGATTAAGTAGTGGGTCACCGTTAAAAGAGGGTCAATGGTTGTCAGGTCAAGGGATGTAAAGGAGGGGCAATGGTTGTTTAGTGGGTCACTGTTAAAAGAGGGTCAATGGTTGTTAGGCCAGGGTATGATAGGTGAGGGATCAGGTTTACTTGCCTGGTGTGAAGGTAAGGGTAGACAGTGTTTACATATGTCTAGATTGCATTACTGTCTGTATTTTTTAGTAGTTGTGAAGATTTACACAATTTACAAATATCTACAGTAAATTGCTACATAGATTTTCACTGTCTGCGAGTATGTGCGTGTTTTAGAAATATTTACCATTTGATTGCAACACAGTTCTCGATGACTCAACGTACAGCAATGCAAAAATTGATCTTCCAGGACTGACAACGCCATCAAGAATCACTGGAACTCTACCATGAGGCGTAAGTACGAGGCGGAGATGACGGCTGCCGGACGCAAGAAACAGCGGGGTGGACGACACAACTCCGGGCAGACAACCCCTGTGATGGCATCCCCGGCACCACCACCACAACACTACTCCCAGGACTACTACCACAGAGCAGGTGGGAAGCTTGTGGTAGTGTTGTTAACCCTCTCAATAATAGACTACAGTTAACCCTCTCAATAACAGACTACAGTTAACCCTCCCAATAACAGACAGATACAGTTAACCCACCCAATGTCAAGCTTCCCAATACGGCCACCGTGAACCGTAACTCGTAAAAGCTACTGCAGTACAGTTCTACGCAATACAGTATCTCCGTTAGCCGGAATCCGTCAAACCCGGAACTCTCCGATGGCCGGAATTGAAATTTTCTTGGAAAATCGTTCACAAAGCCGGAAATTTTGGAAAGATTATGGCTTTTGGAAAAATTTTGTGAGGGCACATTTTGTGGCTAATGGAGATAGTATCACTGTATTGTATATGTAGTGGAAATAGATTAATAGCTTGAAGATTCATCCCCTTATTGATTTACTAACAGAATCATCCTTCAGTATTCACTTTTTATAGTCTTCATAACTAAGAGTTTAATCACACTAAACTCAGATGTTCGTTTTGTGAGTTTGTTCTTTCATTAATGACTGTAGTACAGTAATTGGGTGATTATTATTCTCTTGTTACAGCTGTAGTGGTTGGGTTAGTGTTTAGTTAAGTAGTGGTAATAATAAATAAAAGTGTTCCTCAGTGTAAGAAAAATTGATTTATGAACAGTTTTGAGGAACAACTTTTACAGAAGTCAAGGAACTTCTGCACTGTACACTGTATGGGTGTTGGACGTTTTGGCCAGGACGACAAAACATAACAGAACGTAATTTAACATAACTTATCATAACATTACATAATGTAACATAACATATATTTAATATAATATAACATAACAATTTAATCTAACAAAACCTAATCTAGCCTAACAGTCGCCCAAACGTTCACTCACCCACTACAATTTGATGTTTAAGGTGACATTATAATTCCAAGTTGTGAAATTACTTTTATTATTTTGTGTCGTTGATAGAGGTGTGAGTGTGTGTGTGTTTACCTACAGATGTTATGGGTCCACCGATCAGTCACGCTACACAGCACCTGGCGTCACAACCACCTCCTGCCCCTCCCCCTCCTTCCCCCCTTCCACACATATACCCATCTGGCGGGGGAGGTGGGTACTCTTCGTCGGCTCAGCTCCACCAGGACTTCATCCCTCACACTCACTACGACATGCCGCCCGCCATGCACACGCCCGTACCTGTCAACAACACGTCTCCCTATGGTCAGGAGGCGTATTCACAGGTGAGAAAGAAAAACTCTCTCTCTCTCTAATTACAATTTACATATACAGTATCAGATTACTGAGTACTTACAGTACTGCTCTCATATCTGGGGTGGCTCTTCTTCTGTCCAACTGTTAGATAGGGTGGAATCAAAGGCATTTCGTCTTATTAACTCCTCCTTTAGTTGATAATCTTTCTTCCCTTTCTCTTTGCCACAATGTTGCTTCACTCTCTCTCTTTTACAGGTACTTTAACGGGCAATGTTCGGTGAATTTGGCATCCTGTGTGCCGCCGGCAAGGCCGTGGGCTCGTAACACTCGTCTTGCCCACAGTGCCCACCGTTACTCTGTGGATGTCGGTCACACTATAATAACCCGTTATAGTACCTCCTTCTTTCCTCACACAGCCAAACTGTGGAATGCTCTGCCTTCTTCTGTGTTTCCATACTCATACAATCTGTCTCACTTAAAAAGCCGGTTTTCCGACATCTTCGTGGTGTAGATTATTATACTGTAGTCTTTTTTCTTCTAATTTTAACTTCTTTTTACTCTTATCCCCCCAGGCCCCGTTGTGGGTCAATGACTTGTGCCCAGGTGGGCTGTGCCCTGTAAAAAAAATAAGTTTATTTGTAATTAAAGGGATTGGTTTTTCACACAAATTTCTGTTCATTTTACAAATATATCACCAGTCAGGCTTAATCTTTACTGATGACGAGTGACAAAATATTTTTATGCGTATTTATTTATGGTTTTGATACACGACAGAGTTACTGGGAGCAGAACAGCCCGTACAACAACAACAACAATAACACCACCAACAACAACTATGGTGGTAGCGGCAGCCTGACACAGTCCTCCCACCACCAGCCTCCGCCGCCCACCATGGTAGACAGTCTGGGGGGGGCACCTCTGTCCAACCAGGTGAGTACTGGTAAACCTCTACGCCTACACAAACCCGGTACTATTGTGGACGTGAGGGGTCTGGTCGTCGGGAGCGAGGGGGCCATGCCTCCCCAACTACCCTCGCCGGGCACCATCATTGACGCCCGCAGTTCTCCCACAACCGTCCAGGTGAGTTTTTTTGGCACAAGCTGAAGGTCTCCAGTGATTGGACTAGCAGTGCCCTTCACACAATGGCTCCAGTTAACTGTTAAGTTTCTAGTACAGTACTCTCCCGTGGGTGCTGCAAGAGATAACTACATCTTGGTCAGGAACAACTGGTAATGGTTAATGACTGTGTATGGTCAAGTAGAGATACTAACTAATACATTTGGTTAATTGTTCGTAGGAAGCTCTAGTAACAGTGGATATATCTTGATCAAACATGAAACTTATAGTCGTAGACGGCGACGAGCGATCGCGTCCGGTAACCGATTAACATTCAACAGGCAACGACATCCGCGCCGACACCACCGCCCGGGGTGCCCACTCCGCCCCTGAGCCAGTACAGTCAGTACCCCTCTCAGCCCCAACCGTTGTCTGTGTCATCGTCGACGTCATCGGTGAGCCCGCCCCTCAACCAGGGTTTCCTCCTCTCACCTGACAAGTCCAGCATCTATCACGACCTGGGCATCATCTCTCCTCTTAAGTAAGTTACACCTCTCTCTCTCTCCTCTTAAGTAAGTTACTCCTCTCTCTCCTCTTAGTAAGTTACTCCTCTCTCTCCTCTCCTCTTCTCACATCAACCTAACATTCTATACCCAACTACTCTTCCTGCACACTGTCACCATGTCAAGTCATTCTATATCTATGATGGTATTGTCTCACACCTTTAGCTTCCCTGTTATAACAAAATTAACTGCAAGCTTCAGGAAACATTAAGAGCTCATCATTGTACTTTACTATCATGTAGGATAGAGGGAAGAGACTGTGTCCTATATATTACCTTATTTATTTATTTATTCTCTGATTTTTTTTTTAGTTTTTTGTTTCATTCCTTTCATGTATTTATTTATTTTCTGATTATGCTTTTCTTTTTCAGTTTTTCTCAATATTTATTTCCTTTCAGGTATTTATATTCTGATGAGCATATCTAGGAAAGCCATTTTTATATACTGTACAATATTAATCATTCTTTCCAACCCTTCCTCAATGTTAACAGCTGTCACCACCACCACCGTCAGAATCTTAATATAACGTTAACCTCTTAAATACCTTGGTATCAGTGGATTCACAGTTGTACAATAAACTTGCAGGAAATAAATTACATTAAAACTTAATATGAAACATTTGTATGTGAAACTTAGATAAATAAATATGTGTTATAACAGAGTAACATGAATAGTTTACAGTACATTGTGATTTCAGTAAACGGATTATGCAAATTTTCATAAACTATATATTGACCGAGGAAAATCAATGACACGATCATAGTACCGTCATCATATCTGAGGGATGGTGACCACAGTCCTCCACTGTAAACGTTCTCGGGCTGATTTAACCAAGCCTCTAAGGTGTTGTATCTCTGGCCCTCCTACCTTCAACTTTGCCCATTAATATTTCTGTTATTATCTGACCAAAGTGTTTCCTCATGGATAAAGCTATACAGTATCTTATTAAACTACACACAGCAAGAGAATATGTATACTGTACTGTTTACTTTTCCACAACTCGATGCAAAAAAATGTACTGTAGCTTAAATTGTATATTATTTCACACTTCCCTATTTCTACAAATCTAGAATAGACTCTCATCACTAGTATCTTAAAGAGTGCCAGAGATGATACTATAGTGTCCAGGTGGTATGAGTTTGTCTGGTGATGATTGAGTCTCAATCACCTGCCACTGATTATCTCTGGGGTCGAGATCTTTTGGGCTATAAATTAACCCAAATTTATACTGTTTTTACCCCAACTTACTGTATGTTTTAATAAATTATTGAGATTACTGAAGTATATCATTTCACTCAACTAATCATTATGTGTTTGGCAGATACTTTGATGAGCTGGGGTCATTGTCTCCACTCAAGCCTGACCGTACCATGGAGGACTTCAAGGCAGACCTGGATATGGGGGCGTTTGAGCTTCTCACCTGTAGCCCAGTCAAGGTAAGTGGTCCTCTACCTGCTCACACATACTGTAGACAGTTACAGTAGACACTTATACTGTACTCACACATACATACAGTTAATTGAAGATGTAATAATAATCTTGTATCTACAAAAGCATTAAACCCAGCCATCTGTTTTATCACAGGTCAAGCAAGAGTTGTTGCAAGAATTTATCCTTCCCAACCCTTCCATCGTGACCACCGCCATAATCACCACCACCTCCTGCCCCTCCTTCATGTCCTGCGCTTCCTCCTCCGTGGCCACATCCTCCGCTCCTCCGGTACACACCACCACCTCCATCACCACCTGTCCGGTATCTTCCCACAACATGAGCTCCAACAGTACACACAATGGTTCCTTCTCATCTATGAACTCGTCACGCCTCTCCACGCCCCCCATACTGAGGCGGGGACGCAGGAAGCAGCCGTCCCCCACCAAGCGTCATCATCTGTCCCTATTGGTGAGCATTACTCTCTCTCTCTCTCTCAGAGATGACCTCTCCCTGCACAAGGGGTTAATTGACTAAGAATAATATGTTAATGTCATGTGCCTGCCCTGATATTGGTGTCTTATATTTTAAATTCATTTGCTAATTTTGATGTCGTATACCCTCCTCCTCCCATTTTCCTCCTCCTCCTCTGTTCCCCCTGTTCCCCCTTCTCTCCCTCCTCCCCTTCCCCCCCCCCTCCTTCCCTTCACTCCTGAAATGCACAAAACTGTAACACAGAAATAATATAACTTCCACAGATAATGGCCGCTGTTTAATGGCTGTAATACCTCAGTAGTATTTTAATGTCAACTGTTTGTTATTGTCCTCCAGGAAGCCAACGAGTCACTAACTACCCCACAAAAGATGACGCCGGTGAAGACAATACCCTTCAGTCCATCACAGTTCCTCAATAGTCCCAACCTGTCCTTTGACGACGGTAACCTCACCTCCACGCCACTCCTTGGAGGCATCCCGGCGTCCCAGTCCACACCCGTCCAGCCTCTCACCACCATCTCCAACCCTCTACATCACACGTCTACACCCAGCGAGCCCAACGGTCAGCCGCGCACGCCCAAGTCTCGCCGTGCGCTCCTGCAGTCTGCGCCCAAAACTCCCACACCGCTCAAGAACGCCTTACGGGAGATAGAGAAAAAGAGCGGCCCACTACAGCATCTGGTGAGTCTACTATACTGGGATGATCCTGTCTCTGGGTACCAATGTTTATATCACCTTTATAAACACAACTTTTTGGCCGAGAACATTTTCAACTAAAGTTCATATAAGTCGGTGGTCTATAAGTGACTCGCTCAGCTCGTATTTGTGACGTATCTATCTATCTATCTCTCGTGGTGGTAAAGTTTGTAACGTAATCATTTATTCATCCTCAAACACCACAGATGGTAGCACGTCACGGTGGGATGCATTGTGACTTAAGTATTTGTTGTCCGTTTCAGCCTCAGACGCCTACACACCTGGAGGACATAACGGAGATCATACGCAAGGATACGGAGAAGGAACGCACTAAGTTTGAGACCCCGTCCATGAGTAACCAGAGTTGTCGGAACCAGGTACAGTATGGTACAGACACACGCACATACATACATACAAATATAAACATACATACAGACACACATACACACAGAACCACAAAACACACACACGGAACCACAAAACACACACACACACACACACACACATGTACAGAGATATTTGGTACAGTATTTCCAAAAAAAAAAAAGGAAAAACAAAAAAGGATTATTATTATATTGTGTGTGTGTGTATGTTATGTATGTTGTTATGTGCATGTATGTTATGTGCATTTGTGTGTGTATGTGTATTAAGTATATCTATACAGAGAATATCCCTAAGGTAACAGTTATTATAAAGTATTTTCCTTCGCCCACAGTCCAGTGTTTGTGACAGCGGTTACGGGACGTTGAAGCGTAAGGCCACGTCTGCCATCGGTAAGGAAAACTCTCCCAGCAAGAAGGCTCGGAAAGCTCTCCTCCACTCTTGGTCGACTCCAGGAGAGATACAAGTTCCTGGCTTCCGCTCTGAGCCTCTCACCCTCATGCCAGAGACACCAGTAAGTTGGTACAGTATAATACAGTTCACCCTCACCATCGTTCAGTTGTTTTTGTGGCTTATACTTGCAGTGATGATGGTAGCTTACTGTATACTGGCAGTGATGATGGTAGCTTACTGTATACTGGCAGTGATGATGGTAGCTTACTGTATACTGGCAGTGATGATGGTAGCTTACTGTATACTGGCAGTGATGATGGTAGCTTACTGTATACTGGCAGTGATGATGGTAGCTTACTGTATACTGGCAGTGATGATGGTAGCTTACTGTATACTGGCAGTGATGATGGTAGCTTACTGTATACTGGCAGTGATGATGGTAGCTTACTGTATACTGGCAGTGATGATGGTGGCCTGTATACTGGCAGTGATGATGATGTTACTGTATACTGGCTATGCTGGCGGTGATGATGGTAGCTTACTGGCGGTGATGATGGTAGCTTACTGTATACTGGCAGTGATGATGGTAGGCTTACTTACTGTATACTGGCAGTGATGAGTGATGATGGTAGCTTACTGTATACTGGCAGTGATGATGGTAGCTTACTGTATACTGGCAGTGATGATGGTAGCTTACTGTATACTGGCAGTGATGATGGTAGCTTACTGTATACTGGCAGTGATGATGGTAGCTTACTGTATACTGGCAGTGATGATGGTAGCTTATGATGGTACAGTAGTTTTAACATATATTCTGGTTTCTTTATCACATTATATTCACCAGGTTGATTTTATGAGGGGTTGGTTAGGTTAGGCTAAGGTAGGTTAGGTTAAGAAGCCTCCAGTCAAAATGGCATTAACATTAACCTGGAACTATACTACAATAACATATATTCTCACTTAACCATCAAAACAAACATGGCAGTAACCTCAAAACATGATGACGGTGATAATGATGATAATATAACATTTCACCCGCCCAACAGAGCAAAAGCCTGATCGGCGACTCATCCGTTCTGTTCTCCCCTCCATCCATCATCCGGGACACACTACACGAGGAGAACCACGCATTAAACTCCCCAACGATGCTCTCCGACAAATCCACCAAGAAGGTAAATGACCCCCCGTCTGTCCTCAAGAGTGCCGCAGTTAGTAGTTTAGGAAGGTAGATTGGCGTAGGTAGAAGCTTAGTGAGTACAGTAGCAGCCATTGGTCTAGGGGTGGATTCTTTAGGTGTATTACTGTACTATACTGTTGGGATGATAGACATATCCTTAAGTATCTTTTGTTAGGCTAATGGTGGTTTTTATTATTGTAGTAGATGTTATATTCTCACTTGACCGAACCCACGCACTCACTTGACTGAACCCACACACTCACATGACTGAACCCACACACTCACTTGACTGAAATCACAAACTCACTTGACTGAAATCACAAACTCACTTGACTGAAATCACAAGCACTTACTTGACTGAAAGCACACACTCACTTGACTGAACCCACACACTCACATGACTGAACCCACACACTCACATGACTGAACCCACACACTCACATGACTGAACCCACACACTCACTTGACTGAAGCCACCTTGGGGGGGAGGGGTAGTATACTGTTGGTCACACACTTTCATTTCTCTTTGCTGCTTGATTATTATAGTTACAGTATCAAGAGAGAAGTGTGTTTGTGTATGTGATTATGTTTGTGTTTGTGTATATATGTGTGTGTGTTTGTGTATATGTGTGTTTGTTTGTGTGTGTATATGTGTTTATGTGTGTGTGTACATATATGTGTGTGTGTGGTGAAATTTTGGCTAGTTTACATATAATTGATCTTGTGGAAGTGATGTGTGTATGAGTATAATATGTTCCTGTTTTGGGTTATTAATTCATACACATTAACTGATCACCGGAAAAGACTCAGTTAATTACAGTTTATTGTTTTTGTTTTACCAGTCATGGAGATATTTATTTGTGTGTTGGTTGGTGAGAGGTGGTATGTTGTGGTTGAGTGTGAGGTGAGGTAGGTTGTTGTGGTTGAGTGTGAGGTGAGGTAGGTTGTTGTGGTTGAGTGTGAGGTGAGGTAGGTTGTTGTGGTTGAGTGTGAGGTGAGGTAGGTTGTTGTGGTTGAGTGTGAGGTGAGGTAGGTTGTTGTGGTTGAGTGTGAGGTGAGGGAGGTTGTTGTGGTTGAGGTTGTTGTGGTTGAGTGTGTTGTGGTTGAGTGTGAGGTGAGGTAGGTTGTTGTGGTTGAGTGTGAGGTGAGGTAGGTTGTTGTGGTTGAGTGTGAGGTGAGGTAGGTTGTTGTGGTTGAGTGTGAGGTGAGGTAGGTTGTTGTGGTTGAGTGTGAGGTGAGGTAGGTTGTTAAGGTTGATTGAAGGGAGAGAGATAATTTTGTGGTTGACTGTGAAGCAAGAGAGATAATTTTGTGGTTGACTGTGAAGCAAGAGAGATAATTTTGTGGTTGATTGTGAAGCTAGAGAGAGAGTTTTATGGTTGATTGTGAAGTGAGAGAGTTTTATGGTTGATTGTGAAGTGAGAGAGATAGCTTTATGGTTGACTGTGAAGCGAGACGTAGAAGGTACTTACATCAATCACCTCTCCCTGCCCTACACACCCATCCCTGTGATCCCTTCCCACTACCGCTCACAGGATGAGTATGGGGTGCACCATAAACTAGCCACCATAAGTGCGCATCTTGTGAATAGTATTGAAAGAAATTTTAGAAAATAAGAACATACCAAAACTTTTACCATGAAAGATCATTGTCAAACGCCATCTGATGCCAACTTTCCTTCCCCTTCCTCCAACCAGCCGAGGGAAGGTGGTGTTGAATTGTTGTGCGTTAAGCGGATTACCTTCTCAGAGGTCCCCACCACCAAGCCCAGCCTCTCGAAGGTAAAAACAACAACAACAACAATGCACATTCTACTACGCTTTTTTTTTGTGTTGTTGTCTGGGCTGGCGCTGGCTGCTGCCCGTCGAGTTCTTGTTATGATTTCTCGGTGTCACTTTGCTTTGTTTTTTATAGACGCTTAGTTTATGTTGTTTTTTTATAGACGCTTGGTTTATGTTGCGTTTTTTTATATTTTTGCTTTTGGGTTTTTTATTTATTTTTTTGGTTTACGTGTAAGTGGTTTATTTTGGTTGATTGCACGGTCTTGAAACTCTCAGTACACGACTAATGCTTTAAGTTGGGGTTTTTTATTTCATCGGTATTTTTTTAGTATTGTTTTATTTTGATTCTAGTTTTGCATGTTTGGTTGTTTGCATGGTCTTAACCCCCCAGTACTAACACCAGTAGATCACTCATAAGTTCAGTCGAGTCACTGATGTTACGTTGACATTTGTTGTGTTATAATGTTGTCTATATTACCCTGAACACCTTTAACATTTTCATCCTTCTAATTCACCCTTATTGTGTGTTTTTATTTTAAGTTAATCCTAAGTCTTAACATCAGATTATCTTTCATTAATTCTTCTTTTGGTTAATTTTGTTGATGTTAATTTTTTATTTACTTAAACTTTTGTTTCATTTTAACAATTTGTATTGTTTTTAGTTCAATATTTGTGTCTGACTAAGGTTAGTTCTTTAACGTTTGTATTACAGGGTGTATCAGAGGACACACCATATTGTACAGGGTGTCTCATAGGCCACACACCTTACAGTACGGGGTGTCTCATCGATTGCACACACCATAGAGTACAGGGTGTCTCATAGATCACACACCATACAGTACAGGGTGTCTCTTAGGTCACACACACCATACAGTACAGGGTGTCTCATAGGTCACACACACCATACTGGACAGGGTGTCTCATAGATCACACACCATACAGTACAGGGTGTCTCATAGGTTACACACACCATACAGTAAAGGGTGTCTCATAGATTACACACACCATACAGTACAGGGTGTCTCATAGATTACACACACCATACAGTACAGGGTGTCTCATAGATTACACACACCATACAGTACAGGGTGTCTCATAGATTACACACACCTTGTCTCATAGATTACACACACCACGGGTGTCTCGATGCACACACCATAGAGTACAGGGTGTCTCATAGATCACACACAGTACAGGGTGTCTCTTACACACACACCATACAGTACAGGGTGTCTCATAGGTCACACACACCATACTGGACAGGGTGTCTCATAGATCACACACCATACAGTACAGGGTGTCTCATAGGTTACACACACCATACAGTAAAGGGTGTCTCATAGATTACACACACCATACACACACCATACAGTACAGGGTGTCTGGAGGTTACTCACACCATACAGTACAGGGTGTCTCATAGATTACACACACCATACAGTACAGGGTGTCTCATAGATTACACACACACCATACAGTACAGGGTGTCTCATAGATTACACACACCATACACAGGGTGTCTCATAGATCACACACACCATACAGTGTCATAGATCACACAGTACAGGTGTCTCATAGGTTACACACACCATACAGTACAGGGTGTCTCATAGATCACACACACCATACAGTACAGGTGTCTCATAGGTCACACACACCATACAGTACAGGGTGTCTCATAGGTTACACACACCATACAGGGTGTCTCACACACACACCATACAGTACAGGGTGTCTCATAGGTTACACACACCATACAGTACAGGGTGTCTCATAGGTTACACACACCATACAGTACAGGGTGTCTCATAGGTTACACACCATACAGTACAGGGTGTCTCATAGATTACACACACCACAGTACAGGGTGTCTCATAGATTACACACACCACAGTACAGGGTGTCTCATAGATTACACACACCATACCAGGGTGTCTCATAGATCAGTACAGGGTGTCTCATAGATCACACACACATACAGTACAGGGTGTCTCATAGATCACACACACAGTACAGGGTGTCTCATAGGTTACACACACCATACAGTACAGGGTGTCTCATAGATCACACACACCATACAGTACAGGTGTCTCATGTCACACACACCATACACAGGGTGTCTCATAGGTTACACACACCATACAGTACAGGGTGTCTCATAGATCACACACCATACAGTACAGGGTGTCTCATAGGTTACACACACCATACAGTACAGGGTGTCTCATAGGTTACACACACCATACAGTACAGGGTGTCTCATAGGTTACACACACACAGTACATCTCATAGGTTACACACACCATACAGTACAGGGGTGTCTCAGGGTGTCTCATGGGTTACACACACCATACTGTACAGGGTGTCTCATAGGTTACACACACCATACCAGCACACACACCATACAGTACAGGGTGTCTCATAGATTACACACACCATACAGTACAGGGTGTCTCATAGATTACACACACCATACAGTGACAGGGTGTCTCATAGATCACACACACCATACATACAGGGTGTCTCATAGATCACACACCACCATACAGTACAGGGTGTGATCACACACCATACAGTACAGGGTGTCTCATAGGTTACACACACCATACAGTACAGGGTGTCTCATAGATCACACACACCATACAGTACAGGGTGTCTCAGGTCACACACATACAGTACAGGGTGTCTCATAGGTTACACACACCATACAGTACAGGGTGTCTCATGGGTTACACATACAGTACAGGGTGTCTCATAGGTTACACACACCATACAGTACAGGGTGTCTCATAGGTTACACACACACCATACAGTACAGGGTGTCTCATAGGTTACACACATACAGTACAGGGTGTCTCACAGATTACACACACACACACACATACAGTACAGGTGTCTCATAGATTACACACACCATACAGTACAGGGTGTCTCATAGATCACACACACATACAGTACAGGGTGTCTCATAGATCACACACACCATACAGTACAGGGTGTCTCATAGATCACACATACAGTACAGGGTGTCTCATAGGTTACACACACCATACAGTACAGGGTGTCTCATAGATCACACACACCATACAGTACAGGGTGTCTCATAGGTCACACACACCATACAGTACAGGGGTGTCTCATAGGTTACACACACCATACAGTACAGGGTGTCTCATAGATCACACACACCATACAGTACAGGGTGTCTCATAGGTTACACACACACACACTCATTACACACCATACAGTACAGGGTGTCTCATAGGTTACACACACATACAGTACAGGGTGTCTCTAGGTTACACACACCATACACTCACACACCATACTGTACAGGGTGTCTCATAGGTTACACACACCATACAGTACAGTACACACACACATACAGGGGGGGTGTCTCATAGGTTACACACACACATACAGTACAGGGTGTCTCATAGGTTACACACACCATACAGTACAGGGTGTCACACAGTACAATAGGTACAGATACACACCATACAGTACCTCATGGGTTACACACACCATACAGTACAGGGGTCTCATAGGTTACGGTGTCTCATAGGTTACACACACCATACAGTACAGGGTGTCTCATAGGTTACACACACCATACAGTACAGGGTCAGGTATATGTTACAGACCCAGAAATTATTTAATGGTGGCAACTTCAGAAATATCTGTGTACAGGGTCGTTAAAAATAAAAACAATGCATTACCTGTATATTAAATGGATATACAGGGTGACCATAAATTATCTGAGCCATTTAACCCTTATACTGCGCCCATATCAGTAAAAGTTAACTGTAGGGACGGCTGCCATCATCAGTAGAAGTTAACTTTAGGGACGGCTGCCATCATCAGTAGAAGTTAACTGTCGGGATGGCTGCCATCATCAGTAGAAGTTAACTGTCGGGATGGCTGCCATCATCAGTGGAAGTTTCATGTTCCTTGCGTTACATTATTGGGCAAAGGCAGCAGGTAGTGAATCCTTAGTTACTGGTTAAGGAATAAAAATAAGCCGGATAATTTATGAACAACCCTGTATATATGAATCTAAGTGTTCCTTTTTGATGACCCTGTAGTGTATATAAATATAATAATGGGTTTGGGTTATAAATAATATGATGATTGTTGTTGTGATTAATTAATGATATGTTACCTCCATCTTCAGCTGGATGTGAGGTGGGAGATGGTGGCCTGTGGCAAGACGGAGAATCAGCGACGTCTGACCGAACAAGCACGTCAGTTTGTCACCCAGAATGCAGCACTTAAGCCGCGCTCACTTAACCTATAGGTCGGCCGGCCAGGGGGACCACGAGCACAGTAGGACTCTGAAGGAAGCCTCGTATACCAGTCTCTTAAGTTTGTTCAGAGCAGATACATTAGTGTAGAACTGATGCATTAAACTGTACAATGAATCGAGTTCTTTCTAACTACTAAAAACATTAATCAAATATAATTTATGCCATTTTTCATGTAGTTGTGGTTTGGTAACTCCCAGGTGACAAAGGTTAACTTAGCCCTCAGCTTTGACATGGCCGGTGAGACACAAGTGGCAGAATATTGTCTCGCCATCCCTGTTATAGTGATCCATGGGGCTCTGCTCTTTCTTATCTCGTGTGAGTAAGATGGCGAACAAGTCGTCTTCGTCGCCGTAATGCTTTAGAAAAAATTCACTGTTCACTGAGTGTTCTGCACAACTACACAAAAAATGGTTCTTTTAGTTATCAAGTACAGTACAGACTAACAAATCCACCTTTTGTCATTGTTTAAAGTGTCTCATTATTGATGAACACTTGAGGTGGTCCAGCGGCTCATTGTTCTCTACACTCATGTACTTCACTCTGCTGGTTGGTTGTGTCAGTCATCAGTCACACACAACTCCCATTGTAAGAAATTATACTCTTTATTTTCCTGGTAATTTGTGCTGAGGAAAAGGAGAAATTAAGTTTAGAATTGGTTTTAATTTTTGGTCGAATATTTATTCTTATTTTTAGAAACTTTAACAAGTAAAATTTTATTCAGTGGCTTTAAGACAACATCTTCAGTTATTTAAAAGTTTTACGATATGTACGGACGGCCGCTCGTGGTCCCTCAGAGACTTCCCGTCACGGCCGGAGGACAACACAAAATGTTCTCCTCGCGTGGAATAAAAGGCAGAGGAAAGTTTTCTCTTGTTCTGTGATGACATAGAGGATTATTGCTATTATGTGAGACAAGAGAAGATTCTCCCTGCCTGTATAAGGTTTAGCGTGTTGTGTCAAAGATGGCGGTGAAGGTCAGTTACTCTAGCAAGGTTAGTGTGTATATGACGGAGCTGCGTCTGTGAGGTGGACGGCCCGAGACAGCAAGAGAGAGGTTCAACTTACATCTAGTTAAGTATTTTATGCAGTGAAAGTGAGGTAATTTTTTAACAAAACCTCAAGATTATTTATGTTATTTTGGATGAATTTGTCTGTCAAGTCGGTGTTTTATGAATGCGACCACTCCTCTCACTCGCCACCTCACCGTCCCGACCTCGCCGATGCGTCCGTCTGTGCGTAGCGTATGTTATAGAAAACCCAGTTATTATCAGACCAAAGTATTGCTGGCTCAAGAGAAACATTTGGTTAGGACCCAACCACTAGACTTGTGCCAGCATGTAATAGTTAGGTAAATCAACTGTAAGTGAGGAGCGATATAGGGAGATTCTGTTTTTATTTGACACTATACAAGCTTGGGTTGAAGGCTGGTAGTTGTGCGAATTATTTTTTAATGACTTACTGAACAAAGATGTTAACACCCATCATACATATAATCTCATTAGCATTGTAAATATTTTGTGGCTTTTCTTGACCGCAGTAACGAGAGGCGTCGGCACCGTACGGGGCGACGACTCATGGGTTTTAGGACCCGCGGTTCTTGTGCCTCGCGTCTGTAAAGAGCCGTAGCAAGTGAACAAAATAATCTTCGTTTTGGCTTTTGAGGAAACTATTAATAATTTCCTTTACATTATGTTTATTTGTTGGAATCTTTTATAGTGATAATTATATGTGAAAAGTTCTAAGCCGTATATACTATTTTTTTGTCTTTTGTTCCCCGTCATGCTGACTGTTTAAATGGCTTTAATTTCCATCCCTCTCGTGTATATGACTTATATTTAGTGATTGTAGTCTGTCTAGAGATTATTACAACTTGCACCAGTTTTATGCATTGTAGAAGATGGGTCTTACTGTGCTGGCACCGGACGCTCTTGAAGTATCTGGCACAGAGGGAGATCTGTTCCTCGTGGCACCGGACGGGTTGGGTCGTTGCACCTCTAGCGTCGTGTTGTGAGGCAGCTGAAGCGCATCGCAATGCTGACCCGGGACTACCCTTGGAAGTCGGGTCACAGAGGTTGCATTTTAACGACGAGAAATACACCGCCTGTACGTTGTGCCACGTTACGGATTTGTCTCTTGCGTGTGCCCCACCATCACGTAGACTGTGTTTAAGTGTTTATGCCTGTAAAAAGTATCCACAAGGCTTTTCTCTTTACATTACTCATCATTCGCCGCCGTTCCAGCACAGTTTGACACCCCCCAACTCTCCCCTATAGTGGTAGTGTAGACAATATCGAGTAAGGAAAGGAAGTTGTGTAAGGTATATGCTTAGTGGGTTCCGTGTGTTTTTTATGTAAACGATTTTACGAACAGTTTGTATGAAGGAACAGACCTAAGGAGCCGGGGACGGTTGTGTTGTGGCACCACGACTGTCATGCCACACCTTGAGTAGACAGTAGTGGATTAGTACCATCGATTACACAGTAGTGGATTAGTGCCATTGATTACGACACTTTGGGTACTGTCACATCTTAAAAGTACTGTTACAACATCATAGAAGTACTGTTACAACATCTAAAAAGTACTGTAATGTCACATCTTAAAAGTACTGTTACAACATATTAAAAGTACTGTTACAACATCTAAAAAGTACTGTCACAATATCTTAGAAGTACTGTACTGTCACATCTTAAAAGTACTGTCACATCTTAAATGTTTTACTACCTTGAAACTATATGGGGGGCTGATCTTCATGTGGTTCACATTGCAAAAGACCTCGTTTATGATCTTGACTACATCATCGATCATCACAAACATTGACGTCTTTGGTGGTACAGGACATGGGTCTTACTGTTGGGGTGAGTGAGGAGCGGCACACACACACACACACACACACAAACAAACGTCACGCATCACATTGGCAAAAAAAAAGCGTGCAGCACCGTCCCCAGTTTTACCCCTCGTCTGCTTTCAAAAACTAAAACGGGTGTATTATTGCGGCCAGAAATGTTTGGCAGATTTTTTGGTTTGTTGTCATGATATATGATGGTATATTTTCCATTTATTGTAACCGGTTATGTTAGACTATCTCTGAGATACTAAATACTTCGCTTAGATTATTATTAATGTCCACTTGTCTTTTGTTTATAAAGTTTCTGTTTTTGGAAACTTGGAATTTTAACAACTGATTCATTGTCTTGCAACATTTTCTCTTTTTTATTTTTTTATGAGACTAGGATGAAGCAGAGAGATAAATGTGACCAAGTTTGTCAAAAGTTTTTCCACCCAACAAAAGTAATTGACCCAATGACTTGACTGAACTCTGCCCAGTTTTGACATACAGTACAGTACTTAAGAGCCGTCACAGTTACTATACGTTGGTGTTTATGAGAGTTGTACAGTGCTGTCACATCCATAGATCACTGACTCGATACTGCCCGGATTAAATGGTAAAAAAAGAAATTGACTAAAAAATATATATATTGTATAATTATGTCATACTGTATTTGAAATCCATTCTATTAAAAGTTGATGAAAAAAGAGTTATAGAAATTCATCAATATGGTTAAGTTAACAATTGGTGAGAGTTGTCAGAAGTGGTCAGAGTTTAGGTAGTGAGTTAACCCTTTGGCTGTGGGAGGTTACCCTAAGCTAAATAAAATGGCAAGTATGGGAATTGCAGCTAAAGGGTTAAAGGTCAGTTGTCTAGGCATGTTTATTCTTGTTTGACAGAATTGCTTATGTAAACCTGTAAGTGTCAGGTTAAACATCCAGTGTGTGTTATAGCTCATTGCTTCACCTGTACTGTACATCCTAAAGAAGATATGTCATTAATTTTGTAAAGTTTGGTTCAGTCAGTCAGTCACGTCCGCTTAGAGTATATCCCATGTATTTAAGTCTCGACGGCTGTTTATATTATATTCCACGACTCATAGACTTATAGGAAAACCTCAAAAAATATTAAGTGTATGTTTTAGTTAAGTCGATGTTAACGCTTCTGGAATCCGCAATGAACTTTCCTCTGTCCTAGTCATCGTGACGCGCGAACATTTCTCATTCATTTCTAGTTTCACGTAACTGATCGTTTGGAAACGGTTAGGACGCGTGTACAAGGGCCGTAGAGAATTGAGATGAAGATATATATAATAATACTGTACGTTCCCTTTGTTTACGCGTCCGAGCCATCATTATGCCGAACTATATTTCATATCTTATTATCTTGTGTTTTGTTGCTGAGGGCACAATTGGTACCAAATACTGAAGCTTCATATATATGTTCGTGATATATTGTGGTTAGTTTAGGTCACAGCATGTTAGTGACGTCCTATAATAAAACTTGTCCTAGGTGAAATTTTGTAATAGAAAAGGTCAAGGTTCTTATTTGTACAAACTATTGTTTAACTCAAGTCCGTACTTTCTGTATTGTGAATCATAAATAAAAGGAATTTATGGAAAGGTAATTAAAATAATAATAAAAGTACGGACTGATTGGCAGCTCTTAGTCTTGTCTTGGGACCACATTAGTTAACAGTTACTATTATTTATTTCATTAATTTGCTGCTACAAACATTTGGTCAAGATCAAAATCTAAATAAAATTGAATCATAACAGTTGGCTGTATTTTTTACCTGATATTTTCTTGTGTGTTGTATGAGTGTTTGTGTAAGTTGTATGAGTGTGTAAGTGTATAGGTTTGAGTAATCATGTGTGTGTGTAAACTTGTGTGAAAGAAACCATGTTGTCTATGGAGATAAAATTAAAGAACAAGAAATGTGAAAATACACAAACATAGTCTATGGAGATAAAATTAAAGAACAAGAAATGTGAAAATACACAAACATAGACATAAAAATTTATCATTATTGGATCACCTGAAGATTACAAAGCTTATACACCTGAAGATAAGACAGCCAAAGCTTATACACCTGAAGATAAGACAGCCAAAGCTTATACACCTGAAGATAAGACAGCCAAAGCTTATGCACCTGAAGATTGACCACTCCAAGCTTCACCGAGAGATTAACCATCCTAATGCTAACCTAACTTAAGCCCCCAAATATCTTTAATGTTTAAACTGGGGTGTCTAATCTTCATGTGGATAATCTGGGGTGGATAATCTGGGGGTGTCTAATCTTCATGTGCACGTCTATATGTAGTTAAGATATACAAATACCACGGTGATAAGGCGCCCTGGGGAACTCCTACTGTCAGCCAATCAGCGATGAGAACAAGTGATTTCCGGCCAATCAGCACACAGCGAAGTAAAATAAGTGGCGTTGGCAACTGAACAGTGTCTTGCAGGAACAAGTTACATATTTTTTTTTCATTTCATTTTACGTCATCCTTGATAAATGTTAATATAGACACTTTCTAAACATTCACTCAATATATTCAAATAAAATCAAATTACCATCACTAAAACACGTGCAGATGGCCCTTATACCCAAGCAGGTGCCAGATAGTGTATATCTCCCCTGCAGGGTTGCCAGATGCCTGATAATAGTCACATGAATACGATAATTTGACCCTCTAAAATAACTCACCTTAGATTATAAATATGACTTCATTTATCTATCAATGAAGAATAATTAATTATATAAGTAAATTAAGGACTTTAGTGGGTATAATCATTCTACTGCAATAGTTATAAGTATAAGTAATACGACAAGTGTCTGTTAAGTACAACAATAAAGAGGTTAAGTATACGAGGATTGTGTTGTCATGTAACCCAAGGACACGAGGGCCAGGTAGTGAGCATAGTGGAGGTCAGGGACTCTAGGGGCCAGGTAGTGAGCATAGTGGAGCACTGAAGGTCATCTAGTCTCTTACTGATAAATGAAGAATATAGAAGCTGCCTCCTCAGTCACCCGGTAACAGTTAACACACAGTCTGACAGTCATTCCTGCCTCCTCAGTCACCTGGCAACAGTTAACACACAGTCTGACAGTCATTCCTGCCTCCTCAGTCACCTGGCAACAGTTAACACACAGTCTGAGTCATTCCTGCCTCCTCAGTCACCTGGCAACAGTTAACACAGTCTGACAGTCATTCCTGCCTCCTCAGTCACCTGGCAACAGTTAAAACACAGTCTGACAGTCATTCCTGCCTCCTCAGTCACCCAGCAACAGTTAAAACAGTCTGACAGTCACTAAGGTAAGAATATTAACGTTTAACAGGATTGTATATAATATGTTGCAAATTGATGTTGTATTATGACACACACTTGGTAACTGTGACAGACTTACAGTACAACATGTTAGACTCGTGGTCGTTGCTAAGTAAACACCTGTGGACTAGAGGTTTAAGGGGGCAGGACGAGTTGGGGCGGGGCAGGTCGAGTCGGGGCGGTCGAGTCGGGTCGGGACGGGGCAGGTCGAGTCGGGGCATAGTCGGACGGATAGAGAGACAGACAGGTAGATTGCTTCATAATACAGTATGTTATGATACCATCTTTCTCACTATCTATCTATCAAACTAACAATCTACCTAACTAACAATCTATCTATCTATCAAACTAACAATCAACCTAACTAACAATCTATCGATGTTTTATCATAAGAAGCTGTGCATTATAATGTTAGTCCGCCCAGTATCTGATCAGTCTTATCTAAGGTCAACCAGATCACCTGAGATAAAGGTCATTTTTACCTTCTATTGTTACTTGGTGTGTTCTAAGTTATCTCTCTCTCTCTCTCTCTCTGTAAGCTTCCTACCCCCTACCCTCCTTTCTTCTCCCTTCGTCTCTCCTTCTCTTCCTTCCTCTCTCCCTATTCCTCCCCCCTCCTCTCTCCTTTAAATTAAATACAAACTTTCTTGAGTGAATAAAATATACCGTGTTACAGATGGGGTGGCTGAACAAGGTGGTGGTGGGGCTGATGGTGGTTCTTATCGCCTATAAACTCTCCAAGATGAACAAGGAGCCTCCACTACCAACCCTTGACCCCAACCCTTGGTGGGCACCTGGAGAACCACAACAGGAAGACGTCTCCATCAATCGCTTCAACATCAATTTCTCCAAAAAGGTTCAGTAATGTTAAAAACTTTAAATTAACTTAACAATGACAAGGTTCAGTTAGGTTAAAACTAACTTGGGAATAACTAAAGTTAAGTTAGGTTAAAACTAACTTAACAATGACAAGGTTCAGTTAGGTTAAAGATAACTTGGGAATAACTAAAGTTAAGTTAGGTTAAAACTAACTTAACAATGACAAGGTTCAGTTAGGTTAAAACTAACTTAACAATGACAAGGTTCAGTAATGTTAAAACTAACTTAATAATGACTAAGGATAAGTCAGTGTTAAGTCAGACTAAAACAGTGAATTATGAAGTTGTCTGTTGACTGCAGGAGGTAGATGACCTAAAGGCCCGTCTGGCGCTGCCCTTGAGACTCACCCCAGGCCTGGAAGACGCCAACTTCACCTATGGCATCAACGCCGACACCTTACACACAATTGTACAATACTGGAGAAAGAAATATGACTGGAACAAGAGGCAGACTAGACTTAACACCTATCCTCACTTCAAGTATGTCTTAACTACTCTGCTCACACTAATAAGTTACTTAAAACACTGGTCTGTCACACTAAGATTAGATATAGTATGTGTTCCAGATACTATTATAAACTAGAGCTAAATAACTGTATATATCTTTATTTTGTTTAATATATAACTGTGTGGATAGTGTTAGCTACAGTCATTGTGTGAAATATTTTCTCTGATCGTTGAGCTAACTTTAATATACTTCATCTTTGCTATTGATTGATCTGTTAGCAGCTTGGGCAGTCGGTCACATCTCCGTTACATACTGTTGGCTTGTATTGGCTCTGTTACATACTGTTGGCTTGTATTGGCTCTCTGTTACACACTGTTTCTGTACCTGCACTAGTTTTAGTCATTCTGGTTCCCATCACAACACTCTCTGGCAGATTATTCCAAAATGTAAATTATTATTCCAGGACTCGCATCGAGGGTCTAGACATTCACTTCATGCGAGCAAGTGCCAAGGTGGGGAGTGCCAAGAATGTGAAGGTAGTGCCACTGTTGTTGATCCACGGGTGGCCGGGCTCCTTCGTGGAGTTCTATGACATCTTGCCGCTGCTCACCAACCCACAGGAGGGCAGCAGTGTTGTGTTTGAGGTTATCTGTCCCTCCATCCCTGGCTATGGCTTCTCTCAGGGCTCATCCAAACAAGGTACAGTACAGTCAATTCAATATTAGGTAAAGTCAATTCAACACAAGGTAGAGTGAATTTAAAACAGTAAATAAGCCATCAAAATGTTACATTACCTCTCCTTATCCCCCCCACACTCTGCCTCCTTCCTTCCCCAAACACCCCCTCATACTCCCTCACCCCCTCATACTACCTCACCCCCTCATACTACCTCGCTCTCCCTCATACTACCTCACACTCCATCATACTCCTTCTCACCTCCTCACTCCCCCCCCCCTTACTCCCTACCTCCTAATACTTCAATCCAAAGTTTTATTCCAGGTTTTGGTCAGCTTGAAGTAGCCCAGGTGTTCCTTAAGCTGATGAAGAGGCTGGGATACAAGCAGTTCTACCTACAGGGTGGAGACTGGGGTTCACTCATAGCTTCCAACATGGCCACTATGTACCCTAACAAGTGAGTATAGTATAGTGCAGTATAGTATTGTATAGTGCAGTATAGTACAGTATAGTATAGTGCTTGTACCTTTCATCTGTATTAAATAATGTGTCACTATTCAGAATATTTGTATAGTGACAAGCGAGTACAGTGCAGTACAGGCAACCCCACGTCATGGAAAGTCAGGTTACATAAATTCACTAAATTCAGTATATGGCCCGTAAATTCGACCTAATTTCATCTCAGAGTCTGTGTTCTAGAAATCTCTCTCTAACATTACACTGTACAAATGTTACGGATACCATGTCATGCTTTGAATATTATATATATGAGGGTTTTTTTTATTTACAGTACCTTGGGCGTCCATTTGAATATGATATCAGTACGCACTAATGCCGTCTCCTTGAAGATGATACTGGGGGCCTACCTGCCAGCTGGGGTGTTGGTGGCAAAGGAAGACCAGGATAAAATATACCCCTTGTCCAACCTCTATTCTATGATCCTCCGTGAGTCTGGCTACGCGCACCTCCAGGCCACCAAACCCGACACTATTGGTCAGTTTTATTCATTTGTGTCTGTACTATTGATATATGTCTGTTATTAATCTAAGTCTTTGATCTTAAAACTGTAAGTGTCACTCAACCAGTCTAACAGTCATAAACACATCCAGGATCACTATAACTGTGACAGTCTAACAGTCAGTAAACACACACAGGAGCGGCACTTAACCAGAGCCCAGTAAGCCTGGCAGCGTACATCTTGGAGAAGTTCAGCAGCTGGACCCACAGGGACAACCTTCACCAGCCTGATGGTAGCCTCTTGCAGCAACACTTTCCTATATCTCTTGATGCTATGTTGGACAATATCTGCATCTACTGGTACGGTTATGTCTGCTGTCTCTGTCTGCTGTGTTTATGTCTGCTGTGTTTATGTCTGTATTTGCTGTGTTTGTGTTTTTGTCTGCTATGTTTGTCTGTGTTTATGTCTCTGGTATATTTATGTCAATTATTATTAACATTTACCACCACCACCATCATCATCATCATCATCATCATCATCATCATCACCATCACCATCACCACCACCACCACCACCACCACCACCACCACCACCACCATTACCATTTACGACCACTTTCCAAACCTCCGCCAAATTCCAGATTGTCGACGGTGGTTTACACAATGTTTACCAATCGTCATTAACGCCCATTTACGCCCACAGGTTCACCAGTTCCATCACCACCAGCGTCCGGTTTTACTCTGAGGTGATGAACAAGAACATGTTCACAAGGTCTTTAGACAAGTGAGTGAGATACTGTACTACTTATCACATTGTCTGTACAATACTTGCACTGTTGATATACTTTACATGATTAAATGTATACCTGCATTGTGTACATACAGTAAAACCTCGATATAACGGACCAATGGGGGGAGCGGTGAGGCTGGTTCGTTATATCCGATATATTAAATATTTACGCCAGAAAATAAAGAAATTAAAAGTACAGTAATAAATGTACCTGTATTTACCTGTACTTGATGAAATATAGCACAGTATTTGTAAACATATATAACCACTTTATCCATGGGTTATATATTTGATATCGTGTTGGGTTATAGATCTTTGAGATGTATCAGTATTCACAACTCACTAGAAGGTCAGGTTAAGTTATAAATAGTAAGTTTTAATAGGTACCTGATGCCTGTATATGCCAGTATGGGTAAAGTCTGGTGGTATATGAGACAAGTGTATCAATGAATCACTCTCTCTCTCTCTCTCTCTCTCTGCAGTAATCCATGCCGGGTACCTGCAGGTTTTGCCGTCTTCCCACAGGAGATAATGACCCTTCCCAAGAACCTCGTATCTCACAAGTTCTATAACATTGTATCATTCAAGTAAGTGATTATAGCACAATAGTTAATACTTGTAATTTACTCAGCTAAAACAGTACAGAGAGACTGCTAAAACAGTACAGTGAGACAGCTAAAACAGTACAGTGAGACAGCTAAAACAATACAGTGAAACTTCCTTGTAACGACTCTTCTATCCATATAATCCGTTAAATGGGGGTTTCACATCTAACAGACCCTCGATATAATGGACTTCTCTACCCCCTTACAGCGACCAGCCGGCAGGAGGCCACTTTGCCGCCATGGAGCGACCAGCACTCCTGGCGGCAGACCTTCACCAGTTTGTCAACACCGTAGAGAAGGGAACTTGAACTCTTATCACCACCACTAACTCTTCTCTTATCATCTTAAAACCTTTCACTACCCCCAGAGATGAGGTTGGTTCTCTGTGAGTGTTTCTCTATCAAAGGAATTTTTTACATGATTTTTTTTTCATATAAGGAGAATCCATAAGGCTCCCATACCAACCACATACAGTAATAGAATATAAATTGTTGTTTTTGTATTAGTATATACAGACTTAAATAACTACAGTGGATTTTAAAATGTTTCAGACATATTTTTTCTACATTACAACAATATTATGGCATTGATTTAAGTCGTAGTATTAGGAGAATTGTTGATACTTCAGCCCAGGGTGATGTTATGTACGTACGGTAGGGTGACGGAGATGTACACACACACACACACACACAAACACACACACACACACACACACACACACACACACACTTGTATACTACTAGGTAATGATTTATATTTATCATCACCAGTTACCAGTTCACTAGTCATTCAGATGATTAGTCTCATGTTTGGTAGGGAAGGTCACACTAGAGGGTGCAAAAAATACCAAGACAACACCTGATATGTCAAGTTACTCAAAACAGGTACACTATACACTTCCATATATAAGTATGATAAGTATAATCTAAGTTACTTTCAAATACTGTATGATCAACAATATTAATTATCAGTGTTATCACCAAATTATTAATCACTTGAAATTATCACAGGGTTGATAAGTATTTAAAACTAATAAAAATAATTAATTTGTTATCAGTTATCCTGAGAATCGAGGAATGGTGGTGACTTGCTGGGAACATTATCAGTGTAGTTTCAAAGGTTAAATAAATACAGTACTGTAAGTTAAGAGAAAAACCAACCTTTTTAAATGGCCAGTACAGTGAGGTGATTATTAGCTAGATGATAAATAAGTAAATATAAATTGACACTTATGTTAAAAATGATGTGATGAACAATGTAACTCAAGTGTATAATGACTAGGAAGAGAAAATAAATTATATACTGTCTCTTTGTTCATCAGTTGTTAATCCTTTACCTTTGTCTATAACTAATGATTATAGAGGTTTATTATCACTGAACTATCATCCATCTATCTATCTATCTATCTGTCTGTCTGTCTATTAATCTATTAGTTACAATCTATTTACAGTATCTATCTATCTATTTACCTATCTAACTGTATTTCTGTCTATTCTCAAACTGTCATCAATCAATCTATCTGTTTTCTATATGTTTCTCAGCTTTCTATAGATACAAAACTCCAAGTAACACTGAGAAACACATATCGCTCATGACTGTGTCCTGGCTTCAATCCCCATCCAGGACAGGTGTGTGAGAAGGGTGGTGAACCTAACCTAACCAAGACAGGGTAGGTTTTCTTAAAGTGCTACAGTTTCCCCCTGAAGTAATACTGGAGTTAAGAACATAAGAAAATAACAAAGATTAAATGCCTGGATGGCTAGTGAGCTGTTGAGTATTGCCCGGATTGCTAGCAAGCTGTTGAGTATTGCCCGGATTGCTAGCAAGCTATTGAATATTGAAATAATAATGAAATAAGTGTGTAAGGTGAAAGATTGGTGACCCACTCAATCATACTTAATATAGTCACTTAAGAAACTATATAAAATTATGTTGGAAAAAATATGATACAATGGATGGGGAATTTTGACAATCCTACTGAAACAAGAGGAGTCGCAGCGTTCATTCTGGAATTCATCGATCACCTCAATTAAAGGTAATTTTTTTGAGTGATTGTACAGTAGCTAAAACAACTATCTGTGCATACTTTGTGGGAAACAATATGAGACTATGGATGATAAATATTGGTATATGAGGGCTGTCACTAGTCACTCATAAAATTTGGGGGCATATCAAACTCCACCTGCACAGATAGTTGTTTTAGCTACTGTAAATTGTATATTGTGTGAGTCTACTATAATTACTACCATTACACCATAGTCTACTACTACTACTGAACCACCACTACTACATTACTACTACCATACCTAGCTACCTAACCAAGTACTACTATTACTACCACAACTACTATCGAAAGTATAGGACAATATCTTTCCACCCCAGTCAAATACAACCTCTGGAGTCTCAAGGGTGACATAACGATACCCACAACTTGCTGGAGATTCCACTAGCAAACAACACCTGACCACACACCTGGGTGATGATACATTGGTACCTTGGAGTTCATATCGAGAGGAAACAATGTAAACAGAATTGGATTGTTTGAGGGATTAAATATAAGCTTTTTAGACTAGTTAGGCGTTACATACATAATTATACTGGATATTTTATTCACTAAAACCTCGTACAAGTTTATAATTGATTCATCATGTATGTCGTCAGTACAAGCATACAATGTACATAGTGAGTGTAGGTATACAAACAATGGTAAACGTCAAACAAGTATAAACCAAAAAATACCATAAAAGCTTCTTATCTCCTCTTGTATTAACAGTATATGTTGTAATATGGGAGGTGCTGTACATTATAATAGTTCCCCCTCTAACATGTTACGTTTTCTCTGGTGTTAATATAAAAAGTCTGCGGGAATTGCTCGTCTTCTTTCAGATTAGTCAGGAGGAAGGGGTGTTGGTGGTGGCTGGGGACTGTGTGATAGGATAATGCCTGCATGGTGGGGGTGGAGGGAGGCACCTAGGCATTGACCTATTTAAGGGACAACCTTTCAGTGTGAGTGTGATGCCGTGAGAGTCGGTAGTTGCCCACCATTGGTGCCACACCAGCCAGTGATTTCACTGGAAATATTACTGTTAGTGTAACAATCACTGAGGTGTGACCAAGCAATGGTGTCAGTATCAGGGATGTGTGGATCCTTGCGAGAGGAAGAGCCTCTTTAACGTTCACCTCCCATACTACACACATAAACTGTTAATACAAGAGGAGATAAGAAGTTATGGTATTTATTGGTTGTTTGATCAACTTGTTGACCATTGTTTATATGTCTACACCGTCTGTGTACACTGTACGAGTATACCTACACCGTCTGTGTACACTGTACGAGTATACCTGCACCGTCTGTGTACACTGTACGAGTATACCTACACCGTCTGTGTACACTGTACGAGTATACCTACACCGTCTGTGTACACTGTACGAGTATACCTACACCGTCTGTGTACACTGTACGAGTATACCTGCACCGTCTGTGTACACTGTACGAGTATACCTACACCGTCTGTGTACACTGTACGAGTATACCTACACCGTCTGTGTACACTGTACGAGTATACCTACACCGTCTGTGTACACTGTACGAGTACCGTCTGTGTACACTGTACGAACACCGTCTGTGTACACTGTACGAGTATACCTACACCGTCTGTGTACACTGTACGAGTATACCTACACCGTACACCTACACAGTACTGCCTCACTTGGGTGTCTCCTCCTCACCTTCTTCATATAAAACAAACGTCAAGTTAAACCTGAATAGTGAACTTATCATAAACCAAGTATATAATAGTTTTATTATCATCACTTTCGTCTATAATTATATTAATAATAACAAACACAACCACCAATTGATGGTCCAAACACCCCGTTTATTAACCCCGCCCACTGATGACGTCACTACTGAAGCAGGTCCCGAACACACCCCGCCCACTGATGACGTCACTACTGAAGCAGGTCCCGAACACACCCCGCCCACTGATGACGTCACTACTGAAGCAGGTCCCGAACACACCCCGCCCACTGATGACGTCACTACTGAAGCAGGTCCCGAACACTGAAACAATTCCCTCGATGGTTTTAAGGAATTAAAGTTTATTATTATTGTTATTTTATCGTTGTTGGTTGAGTAATAATGTTCATATGTTGTTAATAAAATGAGGTTGTGATGGTTGAAGGTTCAGTCTGGGTCAGTCGAGGTCTCAGTCTGGTTCAGTATGGAGGAGTGAAGGCCTCAGTCTGGGTCAGTCGAGGTCTCAGTCTGGTTCAGTATGGAGGAGTGGAGGCCTCAGTCGAGGTCTCAGTCTGGTTCAGTATGGAGGAGTGGAGGCCTCAGTCGAGGACTCAGGGAGTGGAGGGGAGGCCTCAGTCGAGGTCTCAGTCTGGTTCAGTATGGAGAGTGGAGGCCCCAGTCGAGGTCTCAGTCTGGTTCAGTATGGTGGTGGAGGAGTGGAGGCCTCAGTCGAGGTCTCAGTCTGGTTCAGTATGGTGGTGGAGGAGTGGAGGCCTCAGTCGAGGTCTCAGTCTGGTTCAGTATGGAGGAGTGGAGGCCTCAGTCTCCAAGCTTCACACAGAGGTTATGTTGGAGCTGACATGCGCCAGCCTGTCTTAGTGTGTGTCTGCTGCTGCTGTTGCTGCTGCTGCTGCTACTACTGATTCTGCTGCTGGATGTTGACGGTTGACTGGTAAAGTTATACATTACCGGGGTTCTTAGTTCAGGAAACTGTCAGGATAAACTTTTGCGGAGTGACAGTAGTTGACAACAGTGTGTAACGGAGCCGGTACACCCCCGGTACTTGCCAACAGTGTGTAACGGAGCCGGTACACCCCCAGTACTTGCCAACAGTGTGTAACGGAGCCGGTACACCCCCAGTACTTGCCAACAGTGTGTAACGGAGCCGGTACACCCCCAGTACTTGCCAACAGTGTGTAACGGAGCCGGTACAACGGAGCCGGTACACCCCCAGTGCCAACAGTGTGTAACGGAGCCGGTACACCCCCAGTAACCCAACAGTGTGTAACGGAGCCGGTTCAGTAACAGTGTAACGGAGCCGGTACACAGTATTGTCGGCAGTACTTGCCAACAGTGTGTAACGGAGCCGTACACCCCCAGTATTTCTACAGTAACGCCCAGTGTAACGGAGCCGGTACACCCCCAGCAGTGTAACGGAGCCGGTACAGCCCCGGTACACCCCCAGCCAACAGTGTGTAACGGAGCCGGCCAGTACAATAGTGTGTAACGGAGCCGGTACACGGCCCAGTACTTCTTGCCAACAGTGTGTAACGGAGCCGGTACACCCCAGGCACAGTGTAACGGAGCCACCCCCAGTGCCAACAGTGTGTAACGGAGCCGGTACACCCCCAGTAAACTTGTACAACAGTGTTAACTGGAGCCGGTACACCCCCAGTACTTGCCAACAGTGTGTAACGGAGCCGGTACACGCCCAGTACTTGCCAACAGTGTGTAACGGAGCCGGTACACCCCCAGTACTTGCCAACAGTGTGTAACGGAGCCGGTACACGCCCAGTACTTACCAACAGTGTGTAACGGAGCCGGTACATCCCCAGTACTTGCCAACAGTGTAAGAGACGTGACCAAACGGCTAACAGACCGATCAGTGGTGAAGATAACGGATAAAATCATTAGTTTACATACCAACAGTAATGGGTAACTTGTCGCTGTACACCTGGATTACCTGGTCATTTTGGGTCCCATTTTGACATAATCTAAATCAATTGAGGAAACCATTTAAAGTTTTAATATTCACTTACCTTATTTACCTAATGGCCACCCAACTAAAGGTGGCCATGTCGAGAGGTGGCCATGTCGAGAGGTGGCCAGTGGTTAACTTACCTTTATCAACACGCTCAAGAGAGGCAACAGCGTGTTTATATATTGTGGTAAAGTCGACCACAGTTTATTAATTATTGGTCATTTAACTCAACTACTCATTACCACGATAATTAAGGGCAAAAAATGGCTACAGGTAAACGTTAATTATAAATCTCGCAAATTACTACATAAATCACCGTAATTTAACTTACCATAAAAGCGGCGTCACCTTATCTCCCCTTTCAGTTATTTTCTTGGATCAATTAACCTAAAGAATTACATTTTTTCTTCAAATCTGCAACACTCGAGTTAGTACCTCCCGCCTGTCAGCCATTCGTGTCCATCATGAACCAAATGAGATCTAACCTAATCCATATAAATCTTAATATCAATTATTCCCCTAAAGTCTTTAATATAAAGTATATAATTATATACTTCTTAACTATTGTTCTATTATAGTACGTGGTATTATATTCTATTTTTTTATAACTACACTGGTTATCGAATATAGTTCTGTACTTGATTACATAAATTAGCGCAATAGTGCAATACGCGGGGTCAATACTTTTTATGATTAAGCTCTTAAACTTAGTTAAGCTCTAACTTAGCTAAGCTCTTTAACTCTCCAAATAAATGCCCACTCTTGTAAAGTCCAACAAAATATAGAACATATATAGAAAGGGTCTAGTGTGGCGTCACCTTCCAATAATCTTGAATCGGTTAATTTGCATAATTGCCTTCTGAGTTACTTTAACCCAGCGGTTCCTAATGGAGGTTCCATAAAATACGGCAATAATTTAATAATTACAGAAATAGTTAACAATGGCTCAGATCGACCTTGAAGCAGTCTCTTAATATTGTTGACTAAATAATTTACTTAATATACAAATTGTATAATATTTTGGGTATTTTCTTATGTTTATTCAGAGGTAAAGTAAATATCTCGTCATAAAGTTCCATATTAATTTATTTTTTATTTCAATTATAAGTTAAAGTTCCTGACTGTGTGTTTGTAAGATTTAATATTAGTGTATAATAGTTATTACTAAATTAGTTAACTTAGATAAATATTAAAGTAATAGTTTAAAGATTTGTCAGAAAATGAAACCAAATATTATGTATTAAAATACTTTTATTTATTTCAGTTTATGGAGAGTTTGTATACCTGGACTTGGTGCCGTGTGACCTGACCTGACCAAGGAGCGTCCTGCAGCATGGTGACCTGACCTGACCAAGGAGCAGGTTGAGCGTCCTGCAGCATGGTGACCTGACCTGACCAAGGAGCATGTTGAGCGTCCTGCAGTATGGTGACCTGACCTGACCAAGGAGCAAGCGTCCTGCAGCATGTCCTGCAGCATGGTGACCTGACCTGACCAAGGAGCAGGTTCCCAGCATGGTGACCTGTCCTGCAGCATGGTGACCTGACCAGGAGCATATTGAGCGTCCTGCAGCATGGTGACCTGACCTGACCAAGAGCAGGTTGAGCGTCCTGCAGAATGGTGACCTGACCTGACCAAGGAGCAGGTTGAGCGTCCTGCAGAATGGTGACCTGACCTGACCAAGGAGCATGTTCAGCGTCCTGCAGCATGGTGACCTGACCAGGAGCATATATTGAGCGTCCTGCAGCATGGTGACCTGACCAGGGAGCATATTGAGCGTCCTGCAGCATGCTGACCTGACCTGACCAAGGAGCATATTGAGCGTCCTGCAGCATGGTGACCTGACCTCTCCAGCCAGTGGCCTCACCTCTACAAGCACCATTTTGGGTGACCCAGCAGTGTGACTGCCCCTCAGCCAGTGGCCTGCAGCAGTGGCCTGCCTCTCCAGCCAGTGGCCTGCAGCAGTGACCTGCCCTCTCCAGCCAGTGGCCTGCAGCAGACCTGCCCTCTCCAGCCAGCAGCAGTGAGTGGCCTGCAGCAGTGACCTGCCCTCTCCAGCCAGTGGCCTGCAGCAGTGACCTGCCCTCTCCAGCCAGTGACCTGCCCTCTCCAGCCAGTGGCCTGCAGCAGTGACCTGCCCTCTCCAGCCAGTGGCCTGCAGCAGTGACCTGACCTCTCCAGCCAGTAACCTCACCTCCACATAAAGACTGTATATAATGTACAGTATATAATAATAAATGTGAAGAAGTCGTTCTGTTTTCATAGACCTTTTAACACTGCCTGGTAACACCCCGTTTGGTAACACCTCGTCTGGTTCAGCAACACAACCAGCCAACTTGTCAAAACCAAAATATTTAGGAACTAAAACAAATTACAATTAACTTAAATATAATATTTAAACATTTTGAAAAAATAATAAATTCAATATTTAAAAAAATAAAAAACAAATTTAAAAAAAATATATAAATGCATTCAACATTTATAAAATCAACATTTAAAAAAAAATAAAAAATAAATCAATATCTAATAATTTTTTTGTCTAATTTTTCAAAATTTTTGGGAAAAAAGGCCGTACACTGCCAGGCCCTGCCGTACACTGCCAGGCCCTGCCGTACAGTGCCCTAGCCCTGCCGTGCAGTGCCCTAGCCCTGCCGTACAGTGCCCTAGCCCTGCCGTGCAGTGCCCTAGCCCTGCCGTGCAGTGCCCTAGCCCTGCCGTACAGTGCCCTAGCCCTGCCGTACACTGCCAGGCCCTGCCGTACAGTGCCCTAGCCCTGCCGTACACTGCCAGGCCCTGCCGTACACTGCCAGGCCCTGCCGTACAATAAAAATAATAATAATCTTCCTCAAGTAATAATTTCTTGTAATATTTCCAGCTCACTCGTCCAGGTAATCTTCCTCACCTGTAATAATGGCGGGGAATTACTTAAGGTAAAGCGGGTGAATTCCTCTCGCCAACCTTGGAGAATCTTGCCCCGACCTCTGAGTCTTGAGCCTCCAGTCAGCCTGGGAGTCGAACCTGAGGCCCCAACCGTCCACACCGAGGCCACTCAACTATCACCACTGACCTGAAATGTTTATACACCGCTGTAACCATATATATAAATCGTATCAAATCTTAACCTATATAAATTACTCGTATCTTAGCCTGGTAACTATACACATTACTGTTGTACCTTGTCTAGGAACCATATAAATTACCTCATCAAATTATATACATTACCCATTATATTAACCTAGATAATAGACATTACTTAGAATTATATAAACTACCATTATGTTACAACCTAGAACCTATACCAATTACTTAGCCCAGAAACTATGCACATTTCTTCACATTAACCCTAAACAAATCCTCAATTTATGTTATCCATCTATACAAATCCTCTATCAATATCTATATAAATTTCCTTTCTATATACATTAACAAGAATAATTTATATATTGACACTCCTTGAGGAACACTTGCCCCGAGTCTTAACAGGTCCAGGAATAAAATCTTTCAATAACTACCTTCAAGTCTTGTATGCTAACTCGCTAAATATATATAAAAATCACTTCAATCTTTATAAATTGTAATTCAACATTGTATCTCTTTTTATATAAACATTTTAAAGGCAATATATGATCACGTAAGTAGAAATATTATAAAAACCCTCAGACAGACAACCACACGACCCATCCCTTTGAGCTCCAGAGAACCACCCCAGATATACTGAATCACCTTTTCTGAATTCTGTGTTTAAAACTAAGATATTTACTGTATTATGAGCTGTTTAAGTTGAATTATAAGATTAGTGACGTATTAATAACAGATATTTGTATAATAAGGTAGAAAATATGTAATTAATGATGTTTAAAATTAGTTCATAGGAGTTAATGAACCCGAGGCACATTAGATTCACTCAATACACCATCTCTTCGTTAACAATACTATAACATTATTGACTTTATTCTACATTAAATCAATCAAATAATGACTTAATGACGTAGTGTAAGATAAATGTTATAATTTACAACAACAATTAAGAAATAAAAATATTGCAATTTGTCTCACTCACTTAACCTTCACCCCACCCCTCTCTTTTTCTCTCTCAACCTTCCTTTCTTTCTATCTCTCTCTCTCAACCTCCCTCTCTATCTCTTTCTCTCTTGCCACGCCGTACATAAGTCGTATAAGGTTTAATACATACTTAACTGCTCAGTCTCTGCTTGGTATTGGTAAAAGACATCTTGGTATGCTACACGTTTGTCCAGTCGTCTCTTGGGATGGACATTCTTCAGGTGGAGAGGGCTGGAGTGGAGTGGGCTGGGGTGGAGTGGGTTGGGGTGGAGGCTCTGTGGGTGGAGAGGGCTAGGAAGAGGCCCGGTGAGAGGTACAAGAGGTGGGAAAGGGCTAGGAAGAGAAAACGCGGGTAAATTCTTCAGAGGAGACTCCTTTGGCAGCTTAAAGGGGGGGCCACTGCCTAAAATAAAATACATCCTCTGAAATTAAAACCAAAATATAACAAACAACAATACAATAAAGACTAAAATAAATAAAAATATATACAGAAACACCATAAAAATAACAATAATAACAAAATAACTCATATAAACTAAAATAATGTTAATATTTGAGGTAATTAATTCTAGCCACGTATCCCCACCATCTTGTTTATGGCCCCCACAACACAAGCACCTTCAGCCGGGCCACTTATATTTATCCTATTTTCTCCTCTATTGGCGTTATTCACCCCTTATCACCTCCACAACCTAGAGATAATTATACTAGAAGGTGTAATAAAGGTAAGTAAATAATTAAATAGTGTTGTAGTGGTTGATTAAAGCCGTAGTGGATAAAATAAAGACGTGAATCGTAATGGTCGTCTGTGTCATTCTCAGGACCAATTTAAATAACCTTAAATTATTGTTGTTAAATGACTATATGTAGTTTTATTATTGTCTATTAGTAATTTATTGTCTGTAGAATGTTTAGGATGACTCTATGGGGATTTAAAGTCGTTTTAATGTTTTTTTTTATTAATTTACGTGGAAAACAAATATTTACCAATAAAATAATAATACTGTTATAATAATAATAATAATAATAATAATAATAATAATAATAATGTAATAAAAAAATAATACTGCCATAATAATAATAATAATAATAATAATAATACCAATGATAATAATAATAATAACAATAATAATAATAATAATAATAATAATAAAGAACATGTTGTAGTGTTTTAGAGGTTAATAATGATGACAATAATTATTAACGGTACGACTAATTACCCAGATGTAGTCGCAATAAAGTCAAATGATGGTCGTACAAGCGTAATTCGGGCTGTGAATCACTTCTCGATTATTATTTGGTGTCACAAAGTCAAAAAAAACTGGTAAACTTAATTTAATCTGAGTTGTGTTGTGTTAGGTTAGGTTAGGTTAGGTACATGCACTTGATCTATTAACTCAGAATAAATTAAGTTTACCAGTTTTTTGTGACTTTGTGACACCAAATACTAGTCGAGAAGTGATTGGCAGTCCGATTTATTCATCGAGGACCATTATTTGACTTCATTGCGGCTATATTTGGGTAATTAGTCGGACCCATTATTAATGTATGCCTTGATGCCCTTACAGGATGCCTGGGTACTACGACAAGGGTGACTATGACTCCAGGGTCGGAGGTGGCGGCAACCGTTACAGGTGACCCAACTATCTAGTACTTTAATTAACGTCTGTGATCACCTGAAGAATATCCCCCCCCCCCCACCTATAGCTTATCTCATCTGAAGAGTAACTACCTTAATCCTATTGGGGGTTAGGTTAGGTGGTGTACCTCCAACTCGGCCCATCTTATATAACCAACACGGCCAACACGTTACTAACTCGGCCCATCTTATATAACCAACACGGCCCACACATTGCCAACTCGGCCATCTTGTACACTTCAAACAAGTAGCTGACTAGAGGTTCAGGAATGAGTTTGAGATTTGTTTTATGTCTCTTGTTGTTCACTGAAATACAGAGAGTGAACACCAAGGGCTCACATTCATAACTTGTGCTTCTCCAGGTGATTTGGAATAGAGTTTGAAATTATTGCTTCCAGTAATTTGCCTACAATTGATGTTAAATTGGCACTACACCTGTTTTAAGGACATGTTAAACAACTTTGCTAAGGGCATACTAAGCTCTTCCTTACATTCCTTTAATACTCTGGCAAATATCTCATCGGGACCTGGTGACTTATTAGGCTGTAGTTTGTCTATTTCCTTAATAACATCGTTACTAGTCACTACTATCTTGCTTAATTTATTTTCTTCACTATCTCTGTATAGAGTCGGTGCCTCGGGTATCATGTTTAAATTTTCGGTGGTGAAAACTGTTGAAAAATATCTGTTCAGATTATTGGTCATTTCTCCATCGTTATCAGTTAGCTCGCCGGTATCTGACTATTGGTCCAATCTTTTCTCGTGTTTTAGTTTGATACATTTGATAGAATCCCTTGAGGTTTGACTTCGCCTCCCTTGCTACCTTCAGTTCATTATTCCTCTTTACTTTTCTTATCTCGGTCTTAACCCTACTGGCCAATACCTTATAATAATCTCGGAGGTAAACTTCACCACGATTTATTCTCCTGCCTATAGCCTTCCTTTGTCCAATAATGTTCTTTAAATAGTTATATATCCATTTAAGGTCATTGTTGTTTGATCTGAGTTTTCTGTATGGTATGTACTGCCTTTGTGCATTAAGTAACTCATTATTTAAATTATTGTGGAACTCGTCAACCTCAGGTCTCGTGGCTGTCTATCAGTAATGTTTGTCCTCACATCACGTGGCTGGTCATCAATACTTTGGTAATTTTATCATTCATGCAAAAATAAATTTATAAACTTTTACTTTTTAGTCCAAATTGGTTATCCGAGATGGTCCTAGTTGGCTGTGGGCCAAGTTGGACTGTATTTGGTTAGGTTAGGTTACATAAAGTTAGGCTAGGTTGGGTTAGGTTAGGTTAAGGTTGTTTAATCACCAGCTGATATTGGGGATAATTTTCAGGTGATCCTAATTGTTTGTTCATAATTTTTTGTAACACTTTGTATATGGAGAGAGAAGTCTAATATTTATCATCTTATTTCACCATTTATCACTCTATTTCACATTTTATCACCAATTATCATCTTATTTCACCATTTATCACTCTATTTCACATTTTATCACCAATTATCATCTTATTTCACCATTTATCACTCTATTTCACATTTTATCACCAATTATCATCTTATTTCACCATTTATCACCGTTTATCACCTTGTCTTAACCCCCAGAGGTCGAGGAAGAGGACGTGGAAGCTATGGTTGGGGGAGCCGGGGCAGTAGTACCGGAGGAGGAGGAGGAGGAGGAGGAGGAAGAGGCTACAATCGCGGAGGAAGTAGCTACAACAGCGGGAGGTACCGAGGAGGTGGAGGCCACGGTACCTCTGGGGGCTACAGGGAGTCTGGCGGCCATGATAGGTGAGGGAAAGCGTCCGGGCGTTGCGGTCGTATAGTAATATCGATTTTGTATACTTAATGCACTTAAAGACACATAATATATACAGTACCTTTATTTTTTCCCTATTGGTCTGGAACAATATGACCAACTAGTGAGAATTTTCGTATAAATATCTTGTTACCTGATTTCACATCGGTAGACAAACTCTCCTTAAATGACTATATGTTGAGTTACCACCGACGTGATTCCTTTACTGTGTTTATTATTTCGGAGTTTATTTAAATTATGGGGAACAAGTATAAAGGAAATTGAATCGCAGGCTTGTACGCTAATCCTATCTAGATGACAAGAGACGTGCTGTAGTGTTCGAAGCCCATTGCACGCACACAAACATTTACTCTATACTTTGATTCTATGTACTGTACTATAATGACTGTATTGGACTTGTGTATAATGATTGGTATTCAAATAAGTGACATTATAATCATTTGCCTTAATTATCATGATATTATGGCAATTTTTCTATGCTTATGGGGGTTAGCTGTTGTAACTTAATGGCAAGGTGTTACAGTCGCCAAATTAGTGTGAAGTTATATACCTTAATGACCTTTCTGTCACCAACCTGTTACTGTGTGGTGATTGGTCAAGCAAGTGACCTCTTAACTAGCCAGGCTGGGTCACTGTTGCATTGTTTACAGGTGCAGTGATTCATTAGCTACAGTGATTCATAAACATAGGTTACAATTCAGTGTTAATGATTCTTGATTTCAGAATTTTTATAGGAATTCACAAACTTTCAGGTACAGCGACTCGCGGCGTTCGAGCTCGCAGGTCGACGCTTGGGATGACATGGGATCCAACGAGGCGTCGGGTAGCGGGGGAAGCTACGGTTCGCACCACATGTCTGCGGCAGCTGGCCCGGGGGGAGCGTCGGGGCGGATGATGGCCGCGGGGGGGAGAGGGGACACTTCAGAGCTCTTTGGGTCACTTAACCAGCTGAGTCACCTGGGTCACGACAAGTCCAAGTTGGCGCTCAATATCCTCAACGCTCTATTATCTTCTGTAAGTTTGGGGGTCGCTACTTAATGATCACCTGAAGATGAGACACCCCTAGTTTATTTTACCTGATGATTAGACACCCACCCAATAAAGACTAACCCAACCTAACCTAATCCTCTCTAAATAATAGGATCTTTTATCTTCAGGTGACATAAGTCCATGGTGTGGTGTGAGTTGTAAATAAATCTTAATATAACCCAGAAAGTGCTAAGCCACCTAAACTATTACAACTGTGGGGGAAAAGACGATATATATATATATATTACGAGTAAATATCTGCGACGTAAACACTAATAATAACTTCTACGGTAAACACTCGCACAGGATACATCGGTCGGGGACAATCAGGACAGCTGGGAGAACGGACCGCCCCCTCGGAAGATGAGACGTATGGACTGGGTACGTATACAACTGCCCTCTATACACTAAAGGAACATCACACTAAAGGAACATACCTAAAGGAACATCACACTAAAGGAACATTACACTAAAGGAACATCACACTAAAGGAACATCACACTAAAGGAACATCACACTTAAGGAACATCACACTAAAGGAACATTACACTAAAGGAACATCACTAAAGTAACATCATATTAAATTAACATCACAGTAAAGTAACATTACACTAAAGGAACATACTTGTGCTCCACCAGTCTACAGTTCAGTGATGTGCCTCGTGTTTCCTGAGTGACTGTTTGCTGAGTAACTGTTTCCCGAGTGACTGTTTGCTGAGTAACTGTTTCCCGAGTGACTGTTTGCTGAGTAACTGTTTCCCGAGTGACTGTTTTCTGAGTAACTTTGCTGAGTGACTGTTTCCTGAGTAACTTTGCTGAGTAACTGTTTCCTGAGTAACTTTGCTGAGTAACTGGTTCATAGAATAGGTGGATTGATATAGTTTTTGGTTAGGTTAGGTTCTTGCATAGTGTGTTATTGGTTATGTCACTCACCCAGGTTATATATTTCTTCGCCATTTTGGTTGGGAGAGGGAGGGGGGTTATACTGTGTGTTTGGTACAGTATGAGGGGGTATACTGTGTGTTTGGTACAGTATGAGGGGTTATACTGTGTGTTTGGTACAGTATGAGGGGTATACTGTGTGTTTGGTACAGTATGAGGGGTTATACTGTGTGTTTGGTACAGTATGAGGGGTTATACTGTGTGTTTGGTACAGTATGAGGGGGTATACTGTGTGTTTGGTACAGTATGAGGGGTATACTGTGTGTTTGGTACAGTATGAGGGGGTATACTGTGTGTTTGGTACAGTATGACTGTGTGTTTGGTACAGTATGAGGG